AACCGACTGGATGGTTGCCTGTCGCTGGTGTTCCTCTAAGCTGCATGGCAGCCACAAATCAGTCCCACCAGTCAGTTAGCTCCATGCCCTGAGCCTCTGACTGGGGGAGAAGGGGGAGGGGCTGATTAATCACCTGTGAAGCTGGGCTGCTGTGTGTCTTAGAGGGGAGGGAACACTGCAGTCAGTGTTCCCTGTAAGCTGAGCACTTGGGCGGTCTCCCAGGAGAGATTCAAATGCTTCCCAGCTGATTGGCAGAGTGCCCGCAGCAGGCACCATGTGTTTCCACTGGTGGTGCATATCCACACATGCCCTGGTGCAGAGAACAAAATGTATTGCACACGTGGATGGAAAAGAGTAGTGGGAACATTTGTTATGAGATGACGTTTTTGAGTAATTCGGTGGTAAAGTTTTATTGACAGTTTTAAAGCCAGAAGCAACTACCAGATCCAGTCTGAGGTCCAGTCTGGCTCAGGCCAGAGACTTTCACACCAGTATTCCCATGCTGAGCCAGTCACTTAAACTAGCTTTCTCAGACTAAGGTACCAGAAGGACTCACCAGTAGTGGTGGGAATCTACTGCAGAATCTGTTCCACTGGTGAATTTCCCAATGGGTGTAAAAATCTCCACACACCCCCATTCCCACTTGGCTGTCTCGTGTTGGAGGCCAGACCTCATTCTGCCTTCGGCTACTAGAGCTGTCTGCTCTCAGAACTGGGCAACTGTGGGGCAGAACCAAGAACCAGGCCTTAAAACTGTGAAAGCCTCTTGGTTAGTGACTTGACGAGGTAACAGAGCGATGGGAGATGTACCACGGCTGAAACATTCGAGTTGAAATTTCCTGGAGAAATGTTGCCTAAAGCAGACTCCTGGCATGGAAAGCTTCAGCACCAAGGATTAAAATTTGGCAAAGTGATAATCAACCAAAAACAGAATGAAGCAAAATGCAGGACAATGTAGCACTTTAAAGACTAACAAGATGGTTTATTAGATGATGAGCTTTCGTGGGCCAGACCCACTTCCTCAGATCAAATAGTGGAAGAAAGTAGTCACAACCATATATACCAAAGGAAACAATTAAAAAAAATGAACAAATATGAAAAGGACAAATCACATTGCAGAACAGAAGGGGGATGCGGGGGGGTGGGAAGGGGGAGGAAGGAAGGTAAGTGTCTGTGAATTGCTGATATTAAAGGTAGGGAGAGTGGGATGTTTGTGAGTTAATGGTATTACAGGTGATAATTGGGGAAACTGTCTTGGTAATGGGTGAGAAAGTTCAAAGTCTTGTTAAGTCCTTGTTGGCAAGTGTCGAATTTTAACATGAATGACAGTTCAGAGGATTCCCTTTCAAGTGCAGATGTAAAAGGTCTTTGTAGCAGAATGCAGGTGGCTAAGTCATTTAGAGAGTGTCCTTTCTGGTTAAAGTGGCAAGAAACTGTTTTCTCTTTGTGATCTTGTCTGATATCTGTTTTGTGGGCATTAATCCTTTGGCGAAGTGTCTGAGATGTTTGTCCAATGTACATAGCAGACGGACACTTTCAGCACATGATAGCATAGATTATATTTCTGGATGCGCAGGAATATGTGTTCTTGATCTTATAACTCACTTGGTTAGGTCCAATAATGGTATCAGCAGAGTGAATATGTGGACAAAGCTGGCAACGGGGTTTGTTGCAAGGGAAGGTACCAGGGTTGGTATTAGTGTGGTATGTCCTGTGGTGGTTGGTAAGAATCATCTTGAGGTTAGGTGGTTGTCTATAGGAGACTATGGGTCTGTCTCCCAGAGCCTCTTTGAGTATGGTATCCTGTTCCAATATAGGCTGTAGTTTATTGATAATGTGTTGGACAGGTTTAAGTTGGGGGTTGTAGGTGATGACAAGTGGTGTTCTATTGTTGGTTTTCTTGGGTCTGTCTTGAAGTAGATGGTTTCTAGGTATTCGTCTGGCTCTTTCAATTTGCTTATTCTAGGAAGCTTTGAGAAATCTTAGTAGTAGGTGGTGCCACCAGCTCAGCATTTGTAACTGTTGCAAGTGTTCCCTCACTGCCCATCTGCCTAGCGTCTGGGCTGGTGCCTTACCTGCTGTGGTATTGCACCGTGAGCTAGGTAATCTTTGAATGCCCTACTCAGAGCAGAGGATGACAGCATTGCAGTCTGGCAGATTAATGCTAATCACATTGCATGAAAACTACAGCCAAGCCACATAGTTCTGTGTAGACAGCATTGCGGAGGGGTGATGGTGGGTGAAATGCCACGTGCAGCTCTTTGGCCAGTGATCCATTCAAAATATTGCTGCATGATCTTCTATGTGCATCAGCTGCTTGTCTTTGTGGCCGTTTGGTCTCTCCCCACCTGACACATCCTCTCCGTTTGCTCTTGAAGGGTTGGCTCCCGCCTCTGGGCTGCTCGCCATGTCCCAGTGTCTGTCGCCCACACGTTTAAAATTCTCAGACAAGCGATGGTACGGATTGTGCTTTCTTGGGGCCAGGAGGCGCTCCCCATAAACAGCCGCAAAGCTACCTCAACAACTTCTTTCCACATCCATCTTTGTTGTGATGCTGAGGAAAGATGACTGCTTACTATGTGATATGGCCACAAGTCTCATAGTTATCTTGCATAGCAGAAGGTCAAATCTCCCTCCACATTAACCATCCCAATTCAGGCAATTCTCATTATCTAGATAAATCTCCAGTGCGCTGATTTGATTCTGGCTACATTCTCTACCTCAGAAGTATCGTGAGGCAGAGAGTTCCACAGACTAATTATGCGTTCTTGGAAAAAGTATATTTTCTCTGCTCACAATCTTAAAGCTACAACATTTTCAATTCTGGTGAATGTCCCCTTGTCTCTTGTGTTAAGGAACTGGGAGAACCTGTCTCTTTTTCCTATCCCTGTCAGTATTTTATAGCCTGCTATCCTTGTCCCCTCTCTAAGGCAGATGACCCCAATCTCTCCTCTCAGAGTTTGTCTGGGCCTCTGATTCTCTGAACCCTCCTTAGTTAGGGATGTTAAATATTGGTTAATTGAATAGTCGATTAACCTCATGAATTCTTATTAGTTACTCGACTATTCTGTAGTCCCCGGCAGCGGGGCTGGCAGTCAGTGCAATCTGGCCCCACTCCCAAGGAGCCCACTGACACCCTGTGCTGCTGCCTCTGTGGGGTGCCAGGTGGGAGCTGGTCTGTGAGGGGTGCAGGTTTAAAAACCAGCTCCCCTCAAAGAATGGCTGCTTGTCGCCCCAAACTGCTGCCTCTGTATCAGAGGCAGCAGCATGGGGTGGCAGCAGCCCCTGTCCAGGAGGGGATCTGAAGTCCCAGACCCAGCATGAGCCAGGACTGAGCTGGGCTGCCTGCCTGCCCGCCTGGCTCCTAATGTGCTTTAAATGCAGAGCCACAGCAGTGGTACAAGCCAGGACTGAGCCAGGCTACAGGCCAGCCTGCTAGAAAAGTTACTGGTGGTGGGCGGGGGGGAGGAAATGTATGTAGTCTATAGCATTAACCTATAATCTTTTGCTTATCAATTAATCGACTACACTTTTACATCTCTATCTTTAATTCTGCAGGGTACCCAATTATTCAGAGTGGGTGGAAATTCTGAGCTCTCAGGTCTTACCTGAGAAGGGGAGCCGGTCTTACCAAAGCTGAGCTTGTCGTGGGTTTAACTTGGAGAAATGCAGACCGAGGGGAGGATGTGGAGGAAGGGGGACCCAGGAATGGCTACTGAACCGAAAAGTGTGAGGATGGAGCGTGATCAGTTTGTGAAGGGGATGGACTGACAGGCTGGCCTATAGCAGCATAGGCAGCAGTCAGTGACACCAGGCCGGTGACTCTCATGTCTGTGTGGGAAATCCTTCATCAGGTTTAAAACCAACGCCACTTTACAAGCAGATGGATTAATTTCCCTCCTTTGTTGTGCATCACAAGTGGTGATTATCCATGGCTTTGCCTCTGTGAGCCTGATGCAAACATTGATTAAACATCTGGGGGTATTTGTGTTGTGTCCTGGCAGGCTGTGAGAGCCTGCAGTGGAGGGAGGGTGGCATTGGTGTTAGCAGTGGAATTAGCAGCCAGCTGTTTCCAGCCCTATAGGAAGGCAGGAGACACCCCTACCTTTTCCTGTGGTAGCTTTGCTTGATGTCAGCTGGTGGATTTCTGTAAGGAGCCCCACTCAGCACTAGGATCCTTTGTAGCACAGACGTCATTAAAATTATTTCTCTTCCTTGGTGCAGCGCCCCCTGTTGACATGCAAGGGGTGATCGTGGTAACTTTAGGAGTCCTAAGAGCTGGAAGGGGAGGGAGGCTGATGGGTGAGGGGAGGGCTGGGAGTCAGGACTCCTGGGTTCTCTCTCTGGCTCTGGGTTGGAAAGGGGGGGGTACCACAGGAACTGGATGCTGTGAGCTGTGGTGAGGGCTTTTGACCCGGCCTGCCTGGCGTTTGGTCAGCGGGAACGTGCTCTCCTTTGATTCTCTGTTCTGTTTACGTGTGCCCCTTATGGTGCCGGTTTCCTGTGCTGCAGACACAGCTCCATTGTCTAGACCCGTGGCCCTGCTGCTTGGCCACCCCTCCCTCCCTGCCTTGAGCTGCCGTGGAGAGAGGCAGGCCTGGCCTGGATGTGAGTTTTGAGGGGAGGGAGCTGGGGCAAGGGGGTAGTGACTCAACCATACCTGCTAGGAAGGGGGAGAATGTAAGGCCTGGTTCTACTCTCTCTGAGCCCTGCCTAGCTCCCTGCTTGGACTCACTGTCCTCTCCTTCGGCTTTAACGAGTCCCCTTTGTTCCAGCTGGCTCTGTCTTGAGAGTGCCTTCAATTTATGTGACACTTTTACCCACAAGGCCTCGCTGCGCTGCACAAAGATAGTGGTGATACCAGTGGGGAAATTGAGGCACAGGGCAGGATGGCAGCTAGCCTCCCAGGGTCACCAGGGAGCAAGCAGGAAAACCCAGGTGTTCACGGGAGTACCCTCCCAGTTGTGGGAGAGCCTCAGGCTGTGCTACTATTTTTTTTTTGTCTCTTCCTCTCTGGCAGGACGTGATCTTCCACGGCGAGTGCTGAGGCTCACAGGAAAGCCACCATGGCCAGCGCCTCTGTCAAGGTGGCTGTGAGGGTGCGGCCTTTCAACTCCCGGGAGATCAGCCGGGACGCAAAATGCGTCATCCAGATGCAAGGGAAAACTACCTGTGAGTACCTCTGTGCCTTGGGGGGGGGGGGGGGGGGAGATAGGGCCAGAGGCCAGCTCTTGGATGCGGGGGCGTGTGCAGAGGAACTCAGCATTGCTAGGTTTAACGCTTTCTAAGCTGCGGCAAGGAGGCAGGCCGTCGCTACAGTAGGCGCTGCCTGCCTCAGTTTCCTCAAACAGCACTCCACCACTTGGTCATTCCCTTAGGCACTGGTGTGTTCACCTTGAGCAGCTCAGGCAGAAGTACCTCCACCCCTGTTCCTAGTGAGACTTTCCCTAAAATCAGGCAGGGTTGGGTCCTGTTCTTCAATCACATAACCCCTCCCCAGACTTGGACTTGGTTGGGATGTGTTGCTTGGGGTGTGGATTACTGGCATCCAGGGGCACACATCAGCATAGCTTCCGTAGCACAGATGTGGCCTCGTTCCCTCCACCAAGTCCGCCTAAACCTGACTGCCCGGGGTGGGCCAGAGATGTGTGGCCAGACTGTGGGGGTCTGTCTCCCATGCTCAGAGACTAACCAATCGCTGCATTCGAGGTGAGATTGGCGGGGCCCGAGCGTGTTTTTCCCCTTCCAGTGTGGCACAGGGCATGACTCACCTGGTAATCCCCTGCCACTGCAGGGGTATTGGAGCCCCCACTCTGTCCTGCTCACAGCCTGGGGGGCACACCAGCTCTGTTTCCTGTGGGCTGAAATGTCCTAATCCACCCCTCTCTGGGCGGTGGCACGAGAATGCAGACCTGCCCTGAGTTGCCCAGAAGGGGCCCAGTTACGCCCTGACCCTGGTGTTGCAAGCTGTTGTCTCTCCGGTTGTACCAGCCCTGGTTCCCAGCTGCTTTGATCCTGAGCCAGAGGCTTTAGTGCTGGCGTTCTGCATCCCAGCCAGTCCCAGGTGTATGTTAGAGCCACCCCTGGGCTGCTCCCACCTTCCTGACTTGCTGCGGGCCCAGCAGAGCCAGGAATGAAAACCCAGAGTTCAGTGGGCCAGACTGGTGTTTAATTCTTGTGCCAGGCAGTGTGGGGTTAATCTCGGCGTAGCTGGGAGCACGGGTGTAGCCCCAGGGCAGGAGAGGGCTGTTGCCTCATGGACCTGTGGAGGAGGTGGTCTGTGCTGGGAAATGTCTCTTGCCTTTATGGGACTCAACCTCCAGCCTGATGCTGAGGTGATGGGCACTGATGAGAGAAGGGCCTTCATCTGTGGTGTCTACAGGTCTCCCCTTTCTTCCCCCCTTGGTCCTTTCATTTTTCCAGCCCGCGAGAAGAGGGAGGGATTTTTTTTTTCCTGCTCCATCCCCCAGCCTTGTCCCCAGCACACCCCACAGCAACTTCAGAGCCACAGCTATGAGAACTATGCCTGGAATGAGCAGATCAGTCCTTGGGGGGAGGGGCTCTGCAGCTGGGAGACACGCGTCTCTCCACGGGGGGTCAGGAGTGACGGCCAGGGGTTGCGCGGCTCAGCCCTGCCCTGGGTGTGGGGGTGAAGCTACAACACAGCTGATAGTGTGGGGGGCGGGGGATCCCAGAGACTTGGTTTCTTGCTGTGCAATGGCAGTGCCTGGCATGGAGGGATGGGGAACGGCCTTGGTCAGGGCGGGGGACCTGTGCAGCACCTGGCCTCATGGGGGCCCTGCTCTCAACCAGGAAGGTTTGTGAGCATCCAGCACTATGGTGGAGGGGGGAAATCTCTGTCCCTGTGATACAAAATGGAATGGGGCTCTGAACGCTCAGCGGTGCGGTGACTGGACTGCAGTGAACCACAGCGCCAGGTGTCCAGGGTGGTGAGGTGGGTTTGTGCCCCCCGCCTCAGGTGCTTGTCCTTTCTCATTGAGCCCTTTCTGAACGAGCACTTGGCCCGGCCCTCCCAACCCCCGCTCGTCTGCCCCAGACGACGGGGGGCGGGATCAGACACGAAGCACAGCCTGCAGTAATGCCTTGCCATCTGGCTGGGTGCCTGGCTCTCAATGAATTCTTTGTGCAGCCTGGGGAACCCACAGTTTAACCCTGCTCCGGGCAGCTGCGTCTGGTTAACCCCTGCCTGCTGCGGCATCTCGGTGACATGGTGTGCTCCGACAGCCCCAGCTGCTCTCCTAGGAAACCAAAGCCAAGAGTTAACTCCTGCTTGCAACAGTGCCGCCCGAGGGACACAAATCCACCACCAGGTGGCGCCGCGGTGTGCAGCCTGGGGAACCCACAGTTTAACCCTGCTCCGGGCAGCTGCGTCTGGTTAACCCCTGCCTGCTGCGGCATCTCGGTGACATGGTGTGCTCCGACAGCCCCAGCTGCTCTCCTAGGAAACCAAAGCCAAGAGTTAACTCCTGCTTGCAACAGTGCCGCCCGAGGGACACAAATCCACCACCAGGTGGCGCCGCGGCCTGGTCTTAAACTCTCAGTTGTGGGAGTAAGTGGTCAGCATGTGAAAATATGCTGCACCCCTGCTAGGTGGGTTGTGGATGTGATGGGTTGGGTCACAGATCTCCTTGAGACTGTCACTTGATGGGCTAATCACACCACTGAGCCGGCCTGCCTGCTGTCAGGAGCACTCCACCTGTTCTGCGGAGCTGAACCCTCTGGTCTCCTCTGGCTAAGGCACAGCATTGGGGTCCCAGCACACATCAGACTGTGACAGACACTGATAACTGCTCAGCTCTGGCATGGCTTAATCACAAGGACTTGACAGAGCAACCAGGTACACAGCCCCAGTGGGGCCAGAACCCCAGATAAAGCTGTCTTACCTGGTATAAAGGTTGTACACAGAGCAAACTCCTAAATTGTTTACCCTCTTTATCACTGAAAGAGGGAGATCCCCAGCTAACAATTATTTACACTGGGTTTATTAATAAGATCACTTTTGTGTATTAAGTGTAAAAAGTGGGATTTAAGTGGTTGCACATGATAGCAGGCAAATCAAAGATGAGTCATTGAGCAAAATAAAACACAGCCTGCCAGCCAGGCCTAACGCACTATGTGTGTTAATGTGCCAATTCTGCCAGTTTTTACCCTCACAATAGTTCTAGTCACCCCTTCTCGCAAGCCAGGCAGCCTCCCAGCCTGACCCTGACCCTTCACAATGCTCAGTTCCAGGTGGGTGCAGCAGCCCATCTGAGATGGTAAATGGGAGTCTCCTAGCATCAGGCAGCAGCCCCTGTTGTTTGTTTTCCCCCCTTTTTATTCCTTTTGCCCAAGCTGGGGATCCTTTGTGTTCACTTGAAACTTTTCACACTGCCAGTGGAACAGTACATCATCCAACGTAGGTTTCAGCCAGTGTTGCCTATAAGCTGTGCACTTGTGTACCCTCTCAGGAGAGATTCAAATGCTTCCCAACTGATTAGCCCAGTGTCCACAGCTGGGTCTTGTGTTTCTACTGGTGGTGCGCATTCTCGCATGCCTTGGTGCACATTAAAATTATTCCACACATAGATGGAAAAATTAGAGGGAACGTTGGTTTGAGCAGCAGGTGACCTAACCACATATCTTGGCAGGACCAGCCATAGTTGAGACTTGCAGGAAAAACAAGGCTATTCACAGATCATTGTCCAAAGCAGTGGTGCCCACCTTTTTATACTGGGGACCTGCAAACCCATTCACAAATTTTGGTGGACTGGTAACATTTCATTTGCATATTCATTATGAAAACATTCAAATACAATGTTACTGGTCCACCAAAATACCTGGCCCTCCAGAGACTGTCAGCCCTAACCCTTAGAGCCCCCCACTCCTCCACTTACCCAGCACCAGACCCCAGAGTCCTCTGCACCCAACCTCCCCATGCTAACCTCTCACTCTCAGAACTCCCCAGTGCCAGCCCCCCATCCCAAATGCCTCAGTGCCAGCCTCAGTGCTGCCCCTTAAAGCCCCCCCACTACCAGACACTGCCCAGGTCGCAGCTGCTCTCAGGGGGTATGTCTACACTACCCTCCTAGTTCGAACTAGGAGGGTAATGTAGGCATACCGCACTTGCAAATGAAGCCCGGGAAATTCAAATCCCGGGCTTCATTTGCAAGTGCGGTATGCCTACATTACCCTCCTAGTTCGAACTAGGAGGGTAATGTAGGCATACCGCACTTGCAAATGAAGCCCGGGAAATTCAAATCCCGGGCTTCATTTGCAAGTGCGGTATGCCTACATTACCCTCCTAGTTCGAACTAGGAGGGTAATGTAGGCATACCGCACTTGCAAATGAAGCCCGGGAAATTCAAATCCCGGGCTTCATTTGCAAGTGCGGTATGCCTACATTACCCTCCTAGTTCGAACTAGGAGGGTAATGTAGGCATACCGCACTTGCAAATGAAGCCCGGGAAATTCAAATCCCGGGCTTCATTTGCAAGTGCGGTATGCCTACATTACCCTCCTAGTTCGAACTAGGAGGGTAGTGTAGACATACCCAGGCTGACATGCCGGGCTCCGGGCAACCCTCCCACCATGCCTGAACTGCTCTTGTGTCTGGGAGGAGACCCTGCCCCTTCCCAGCACTGGTTGGCTGAGAGGTGGGGAGGACACAACTCTCCCAACAGCCACAGTGGGAAGGGAGGTGCTGGGCAGTGTATCCCAGCCTTGGCCCTCAGAGTTGCTGTAGCCCAGCAGCCAGAGGCCTGCTGCACGGCAGTGGGCTGCAGCACAGTGGTTGGGAACCTCTGGTCCAAAATACTGGACCACTGTGCTCCTTGAGCCCTACTGATAGCCCTCACTTAGCACCTCTGGAGTCATAAACAGGTTTCTCTGCTATCTATTTGAAGAGCTAATCTGTCCATGTATTTGTCTGTGAGGAGTGCTAGGACCGCCACAGCTGGAGTGCAGCTGCTGCTTATCACAACTTACAGCAGGGTCACGGTTTGGCTTTGGTTGTGCCAAAACTGCCCCCTTATCCCGATGCGTTTGAGGACACTCAAAACTGTACAGAAAAGAGACAATCACCAGGCAGGTGAGGGAGACTGGCTGGGGCCTCTCTTCTGCTCTCCTGTCTGGGATTGCCCCAGCTCTGAGCCTCCCACCCTCTAGGCACA